CTCTTAGTAGCGCCCAGTGCTGAAGACTACTGCTAACGCTACTACTACTACTGCAGCGCTCCTCCAGAGTGCTGCTGCCGAATCCTGAAGACTACCTCCTGCCTCCTGAACTGCATGTGAAGTGCCTGGGAAGTCCCTATGAACTACCTGCAGCCTGCAGGGCGGGCCAGTCTTATTTAGTGCTGGCCCGTCCGAGAGGCTGCTCTTGCCAATGCCAAAACGTGCCAGACCCTGGCGTTGAAGCTCAAACAAAGGTTGTCTTGACTGTGCTAAGACCCTGGTCTGGTGCCAAGTTTCAGGGCAGGTTGATCTTATGAGGGCATGAAAATGGCCCTCCGTTTCAGGCTGAAAAGACTCAGGGCCTGGAGGGCCCTGTTTTAGGCTGAAACGACACAGGACCTGTAGGCCGTTGTTTTCAGGCTTTCAGGCTGAAACGACACAGGGCTTGTAGGCCCTTGTTTTCAGGCTTTTGGCTGAAACGACACAGGGCCTGAAAATGGCCCTCGTTTGCAGGCGCAGCATGTAACACTCTCGCAGCACGCCAGTTGGTTGGGTAGACACGTGAGCCTCACTAAGCTGCGTCATACAGTTGGCCCAGGACTTGACAGTTGCGCCTGGGCACGTATACACAAAGCCGGGCCGATACATTGGGAAGCAGGCCATCGGCCTTTGGAAAAGCAGTACTGCTGACGTACCTACCTGGGAGCCCTGCACGGATGCAGCAAACAGCCCAAGTCCGGAGACTCAGGCCGTGCCCAACTGAAAAGGGCCCAGGTCCTCAACTGTAGTCTCGGGCCTGGGTGCAGGGTCTGAGGCCCAACCGGAAGCTACTGGAAGCTTCCAGCCAGGCCACACGCAGCATCCAGGAGGCTGCCACTTCCATAAAAGAAATGAGGCAGCCCAGGCCAGTCATTCTAGCCAGTGCAGGCAATGTGGAGGTGCTGCTGCGCTATCACTTGATGCTGTGCTCCGGCCAAGGGCGCTGACGGGGCGCGTTGAGGTGAAGTGGGACGCTGTAGGGCAGCGGGGCGCAGGAAGCCATAGCCGGGCTGCTGGGCGCCAGGGGGGGTAATGCGGGTGATCTGGTGGTCTGCAGGGAAGGAGGCGAGTGTGGGGTTATCAAGGTCTGATTGAGAGTGACGAGAGTGACGAGATACGTACCTGGTGCATGAATAGAGGTCGGCTATGGTGTTGACAGTCATGTACATTGGTCTTCGAGAGTCAAAGTGAGCCTGTTGCGTGAACCGGCTGTAGTTAGGATAGTCGGGTAGAGAAGGCTGGGCGCTGGGCGGCAGACAGAGAGGAGCGACTTTGGATACTGTGTTGGTGTGGCCTACAGGCTTGAACATTGGCTCATTACTTCATTGTATTGCTCTATATGGATGGTTTCTCGGTGCATTTTTGTACTCTCTGCTTGGACACGACTACCTGGGCATCTGTGTGATTTGGCAACTTGGATTTCTGTATATCGTTCACACTCATATTCCTTGCAGTTCCCAAATTTCAAGAAAGAATTTCGAAAAAGAATTGATCAGAAGTCGTTTTCGAATTTCAAGGAAATTTTCAAAAAAAGGAATTTTATGAACTAAAATATAGAAGAAAAAATATTAAATTGAAATTATTTTTGAAATTTGAAAAGGAAATATCGAAAAAGAATTTAATTAATTCCAACGTATTTCAAAATTATTGAGAAAGAATGAATTAAAAGTTAACCCGAATTTCAAAGAAATGTCGGAAAAAATATTAATTCGAATTACGAAAAGGAAAAGAGGTTGATTAATTCTAAAATATTTCTCAATTACAAAAATTCCGAAAATAATTAATTAGTTATGTTTTCGAAAAGAAGTGGCGAAAAAGAGTTTAATTAATTCTGAAATGTTTTTGAATTACGAGAATTTTGAAAAAGGATTAATTAAAATTATTTTTGGAATTTCGAGTTTGACATGTCGAGAAAGAATAACTAATTCTACCTAGGCTACCAGAGTGGCCCGGGGTCACTTGCCCGGCCGGGCCAAAAAAAAAAAAAAAAAAAAAAAAAAAACGGGTTTTATATTTTATTTTTTATTTTTAATTCAGTAACGAATTTCGATGTGACCCTGGGGCCCGTACCCACTAGCGAAGTATTCTACGATGTGTGACGCAATTTTATGTTTTTTTGGAAAATACAAAGTGATTTTTTATTTGCATGAATGGATCGTTTTCTGAGTTAAAATGAATTGAAATAGCACATAAAAGTATGAAGAACAGCTGTGCACCCAAATTCATGGGTTGGTACGATCTCCTTCATGTAAGTCTTCAGAGTGATGTACCGTGGCAATAAAATGTGTCCACGAACACAGCCACGAGGATGAATAAGTAATGGCTATAGGGAGACATTCATCCCCATGTATCTCATGATGCCTCTAACAGGCCATCCGACAGACGCGGAAGCGTTCCTGTCAGATCCACCACGATATCGGAATTTCACATTTCAAGTTCTATTTCTGAGAGCCAAAAAAAAAAAAAAACGAAGTCTGGAAATCAACCCCCCCCCTTTAGAGCCCATAAAATCCAGACTTCCCGCCCACGCAAAGCCACGAGCTATCATGTCCAAGTTAG